ACGCCATGGGGTGGCGACGCTTATCCCCACAGAGAGGCGACAGCATTTGTCCCCAGATCCTGCAGCCAATGGTGGCAGAACCAAGCCGACAGCCAAACTCACCAGCTCACGCTGGGCTGCCGTGGAGTCTGCGGCTGTTCACTCGGCCTGGGCCACACCACCCGCCAAGGTGGTTCAAAGTCAAGATTCCTGATTTGCCCCAACCCGGGGTCTCTGGAAGATGCCATCACCTCTGACACGCTGACAACACGCGTCCAGGACGCCCACCCACAAAGTGCTCCCGATACACTGCACCCCAGCCTGGCGTTCTCTCTTCCTGCTAGACCAGAAATGTCACCAGGGTGGAAATGCTGGCACGACCCGCCTGAGATCCCTCAACCCCTGCTCGCTCCGATAGAACTTTCCGAGATAGTGAAAAATGTTCTCTATCTGTGCTGTTCAATGTGATAGCCACTAGTTGGAGAAGCTAAATGTTTTAATGCGTTCAATTTTAAGTAATTTAAGTTTATATTTAAATAGCCCCTTGTGGCTAATAGCTATGATATGAGAGAGCATAACCCTGTACTCTCCAAAACTCGAGTTCCATCGCAAGAGAGCTCACAAGCAGGCACAATTGATTCCTCCCGCCTCCCCAGCCTCACACACACTCACCTGCCCCATCCCACCCGGCCCTCCGCCCGCCCAGGGAGTTGCAGCTTCCTCAGGACGCCCCGAGGACTACCTCGGCCTCCACACCTCTGCACATGCTGTCTGTGCTGCCTGGTACGCCTCCCCGCGCACCCCATTATCTGCCTCATTCTTACTCCAGGTCTCAGCTCAGATGTCTCCTCCTCCAGGAAGCCCTCCGGTCGAGTGAGGTGTCCCCTTGGGCTCTCCCAGACCCCTGGGCTCCTCCATCCCAGCCCTGATCGCTTTGGATCATCATTGTCTGGGGATGGGTTCTGTCCCTGCCCCCACATAGGACTGTGAGCCTCGCTGTGGACTAAGGCAGGGCAGGGTCAGTCTCAGTCACCCACGTGTCACCAGCACCGCCCAGCACCCAGGTCTGGGCACTGGGAGCATGTGTTGGAATGGATGAAGAAATAAATGAATGGAGGATGCTTTTGTAAACTAGGCTAAGACTTCCCTCTTTCCCTGAGCCTCAGTTTTCACATCTGTGAGGTGGGAATAGTTATGTGTGGTGGCTGCGGGGTGAGGTAGTCTGTGTTGGGCCTTCCTGCAGGGGCCCGCCTGGCCCAGGGGAATTGCTCAAACAGAGGCTGCTGTTGCTGCCCACTGAGTAGAAGAGGTTAATGGAGGTCAGGGGAGGAGCCCGGGGAAGCCCAGTAAGTTCCCCAGTCACTCTGGAAAACTGGTTCAACCAGTGTCTTCTGTCCCAGGGAGCACAGGTGGAGCCCGTGGAAAGGGGACACTGAGGCTGGACCAGCCTCTCTGCGGTGTCTCTAAGGTGTCCCCAGGACCCCCACGGAGCTGGCCCACTTCAGACAGCCAGGCCCAGCCCTCTGGCCCCCTTGGTGTCCAGCAGGTGGCCCCTTGGCGTCTCTACAAGAAATGAAGATTCCCACGAGGACCCAGGGCCACTTCTCAAAGAGCCTCCTGCTGTCAGGTAAGGAGGGGACATTCCCCAAAGACTGAGGGAGAAGGTGGGACTTAGCCCAGGGCTGAAGTTTCCTCTCAGAAGGAGGGAAAGCTTATCCAGGAAGTTGGGGGGCAGTAGAATCACAGCCCTGTGGCTGTTTTATCTATGGAATTTCCTAGAATGTCAGGACCATGAAGGCAGGAATTTATTTGTGTTTGATTCCCTGCTGTATCCCCAGTGCCTAGAAATCTAGGGAAGTTTAGACCTATTTTACATAGTTGGTATTGTAGCTTATGTTAACATCATATATATGCCTGTTAGTATTGGTTAAATAAATGAATGAATGAATTCAGAGAGCCCAAGCGTTTGGAGGCAGACCACATAGCATCTCAGGGTGGAAAAACCTTCTGAGTCAACGAGATGGCAAGTCTGTGGCATTGTGGCTGTATTTCCACTCCTACACCCGGGGCAGACATCACTAATCAATCCCAGCACTGTTTCCAGCAAACAGCACTCGGAACCCTTGCTCCCATATGAGGATCTCTATCTAGGGAAGAGAATGCCATGGTCCCTGTCCAACACCCCTGATCTCAGGCCTCCCTCATAACTCCCCGCAGCCTTGATCCTGGCACTCTGGAGGCCCCAAGGCTCCCAGGCAGCCCTCCACATCCAGAAGATTCCAGAGCGGCCTCAAAAGAACCAGGACCTTCTCCTTTCTGTCCAGGGTGTCCCAGACACCTTCCAGGACATCAACTGGTACCTGGGGGAGGAGGCCTATGGAGGCACAAGGCTATTCACCTACATACCTGAGCTACAGCGGCCCCAGAGGGACGGCAGCGCCATGAAACAGCGAGACATCGTGGGCTTCCCCAATGGTTCCATGCTGCTGCGACGCGCCCAGCCCACAGACAGCGGCACCTACCAAGTAGCCATCACCATCAACCCTGCCTGGACCATGAAGGCCAAGACCGAGGTCCAGGTGGCCGGTGAGTGTCAGGGTCTGGGGAAGGGGTGGGGAAGCTAATGGGCCTTGAACCACTACCGTGGACCAGGCCCTGCACAAACACCATTTTATTTAGTTCTCTCATTCAACACATACTGCTTGAGCACCCACTATGCGCCAGGCCCTAGAGCTATCCTTTAATCCTCACATGCATTCACTAATAAAATATCTGTTATTAATAAATACCTGCCTTGTGCCAGACACTGGAGAACTCACCATCTCATTTATTCCTCACATGCATTAATTAATCAAATATTTAATTGAGCATTTACTGTATGCCTGGTCATAAGGAATATACCGCTCAATCTTTATGTTCATAAGGCAAATGTTTATTGATGAATCCACTCTGGGAAGAGTGCTAGGGACGGGGTGGTGGACAATTGCAATGGTTTCTCAATCACGGCGCTACTGATATCTCGGACTGGCCAGTTCTTTGCAGTAAAAGGCTTATGCGTCGTAGAGAAGTGTAGCAGCATCCCTGGACTCTACTCTCTGGATGCCGGTATCATCTTCCTACTCATGACAACCAAAAATGTCTCTAGATATCGCCAAATATCTCCCAGGGGCAAAATCGCCCCTGGTTGAGAACCGCTGCCCCATATTAACTCATTTTTACCTTAAAACAACTCTGCGAGGCAGGCGCCATCATTGTTTCCCTTTTACAGACGGGGACACTCCAGCACAGAGAGGTTATGACTTGCCCAGTAAAGAGAACTAACTAGGAAGATGCACCGTAAGAAGGGAGGTCACCAGGGAGGCCTCACCGAAGAAGAGACATTTGCGGAGAGACCAGAAGAAATCTGGTCTTCTGTAGTCTGAATGGTTGTGTCCCCCATGAATGCATATGACAAAATCTTGACCGCCCCCTCCCCCAGCTATTAAAAAGTGGGGCCTCTGGAAGGTGATTAGATCACGAGAGCAGAGCACTCGTGAATGGGATTAGTGCTCTTATAAAACAGGCCCAAGGGAGCTCGTGTGAACCTCCCCCCACGTAGGGACACAGCAGGAAGGCGCCCTGCAGCCCTGAAGAGGGCCCTCGCCAGGACCCGACCGTGTTGGCACCTTGATCTTGGATTTCCCAGCCTCCAGAACTGTCAGAAATAAATTCTCGTTGTTTGCAAGGCACCCAGTTTGTGGCATTTTGTTATAGCAGCCCTAACGGACTGAGACAGGAGGAAACCACGCAGGTGCAAGGCCCTGAGGCTAGACGAGCTCGGTGTGTTCGAAGCATGGACAAAGGGCGCCATGGCCACCCGACGGTTAGCAGGAGGTTGAAGGAGGCAAGATCTGAGAGGCACACAAGGGCCAGACTCATAGATCATAGAGAGAATTTGATGAGAAGCCACTAGAGGGTTTTAAACACAGATGTGTTCTGATTCTTGGTGTAACCCCGGGGTGGGGAACCTGTGGCCTTCTAAGTCCTTAAGTGTGGCCTTTTGACTGAATCCAAATTTTATAGAGCAGATGTTTTTATTTTTATTAATACATCTTTGTCTTTTCTATTTTTATTTTATTTTTAAAATGAACATATTTAAAATACCAAAGAATAAATAAGTTTCAATGAAATAATCCTCCCAGATGGACTGGAACAATTAGAACATTAGTAAGCCATAGGGCTAAATTGACGCTGCTACGCTCATGATTTAGTTCTAACTTCCCCCGTCTGAGTGGCACCACTACCGAACAAGGCTGGTTGGCAAGGGTTTATGGGGGTCGAGTACGCCAGTCTGTTATCGGCTTTTGACAACAGTGCACTATGTTTCTGTTTGAAGTGGAATTTGTGAGTAGTTGTACAGCTCGACAGTATTTTTTTTAAATTCTGTCTGCTTAACAGCCCATCATGCCAAAGAAGACCAAGAGATCGCTGAAGGAAGAAAACAGATTTTTTTTTAATGAGGTTGGGAATTGCAATATTATCTTGTTTCTGCTAAAGATAAGATGATTTGCTTGCTTTGTGATACTGCAATATCGACATTAAAGGAATTCAATGCTTATCAGCATTATAATACTCATAAGGACCACAAATATTTTAAATTAGAGGGAGAGGCATGAAAGGTTGTACTGCAGAAGTTAAAAGACAAAAAGCAAAAGCAAAGACAATTCTTTCAAGCAGCAATAAGATCTGGAAATAATGCCACTGCAGCGATTTTTAAAGTAGCTTATATACTTGAGGAAAAAGGGAAGCCACTTGGTGATGTAGAAATTGTGAAAGAAAGCATTGTCGAAGCTGTAGGATACCTAGACCCCCAATAACGTCTCAAAGTACAAACAACTGCCTCTTTCAAGGACAACCACAACTCACGGGCAGCATGAATTAGCCTTCAACTTAACAGAACAACTTCATGCAACGCTTCAAAAGGAAAACAGATATTATTCGATTGCTTTGGATGGATCAGGTGATACTACTGACTCCGAGCAGGTTTTACAATTCATTCCGGTCATAACAGAAGATTTTCTTTGCTACAAAGAGCTACTCCCTTTGGGTACTCCAGCAAACAGAACATGAGGAATAGATATCTTCAACAACTTTCAAGATAAAGGTCATGAAGTTGGACTGAATTTGGTAAATTTAGTGAGTGTATGTACAGATGGTGCCCCTTCCATGACAGGAAAACATGAAGGGTTTATTGCACGGATTTTAAAGAAGTATTAACAGATCCCGATGCTCTCATTTCTTTTCATTGTATCTTGCATCAACAAAACCTCTGTGCTAAAGCTACTATTTTAAGTGACACTTTGCAACAAGTTATAAGTATTGTTAACTACATTAGTGCAAATGCAACACTCATGGTCATTTTCCTAACAAGCTAAAGTTTAACAGATGAGGTATTCAGTGTGGATTTGCTGTATCATTCTAAAGTGCGTTGGCTATTGCAAGGACAAATGTTAGCCAAAATTTTATTTCTTAAAGAACAGATAGTTAAATTTTATGAAGAACAGAGTCATCAATGTGAATTATTGAAAGAAGATTTCTATAAGAATGCAGCATTTCTGTGTGATATCACGTCAAATCAAAACAACTTGGATATCTCTTTGTGAGGTAAAACTAAATCTATATCTGATATGTGGCAAAAAATTCAAGCATTTTGTAAAAAGCTACCTGTTTTCGAAACATTTCTTCAAAAGGAGATTTCGGATGAACATTTTCTGCAGTTAGCCAAGGTCAATGATGAGCAGGATGACATGTGAGAAACATCTGAAGAATACGCAGCTGTTATAGACCTATTGATTGGAGAACACAATGAAAGGTTCACTGACTTTGACAATCATGACATCACATTCAAATTAGCATTTGAGCCTCACCTAGTTGATATCACCAAGGCACCTAAAGAACTACAGATGGGATTGATGGAACTCTCAGTTGATGACAATTTAAAGTCATTGCTTGATGCTAAGAAAGATTCAATTGGAATATGGAAAAACGCAGTAGAATATCCGTATCTTCAGCAACATGCTCAAAAAATGCTTTCTTGCTTTTCAACCACTTATGGCTGCAAATCTACATTCTCCTACCTAACCCAAGTCAAGACGTCCTTAAGGTCACAAATGACTGACACCCATCGAGAAGATCAACTGAAACTGCAGACCTCCGTGCTGCAACCAAATGTTCAAATCCTTTCCAACAAAAACCAGACCCAACAAAGTCATTAAAAGGTTAGTTAACTTTAAAATTAACAAATAGTTTTCATTTTTTGAAATTATTAAGTACATAGTGTTACTACTTAGATTTTCACAAAATAATGTACATTTTTTAAGTATATCTAACTGATATTTTTTTGAATGCGGCCTTATTTGATTACAGCTACATTAATGCAGCCATCCAACACGAAAAGTTTCCCCACCCCTGGTGTAACCCCTCCGTGTGGTGCAGTGCAGGTTGAATTTCTGTTTTATCCAGGAGGGAACTGGGACTCAGGTGGTTTAAGACATTTCCAGAACATGAGACAACTAATCAGAGAATCAGTGGCAGAGTCAGGATTCGAACGTGGGGCCACCTGAGCCAAAGGTGCGTAGCTGCCTCCCACAGATGCTACGTTGCTCAGTCGCGACTTCCTTCCGGAGCCACTCCCCTAGTGCCTCCTGTGTCTGGCCTGTACTGGGCAGTGCTGGGGACACAGTGGTGACTGAGACCGCTCTGGCCCTGCTCTCCTGGGGCTCACAGACCAATAGGGAAGGCAGATATTCACTAAATAATCACACACATACAAAATATATCACTCAGCTCCATACGTAATGCCAAAAAATAAAAATAAAAATGAATTTTAAAAAATGCATCATTCTGAACTGTGGCAGATACCGTGAAGGAAAGCGCAGGGATTACGAGATTGTAAGTGGAAGATCCATTCTGGGCATCGGGAGGTTGCCCTGGGAAGGCCATCCTTCAACGAGGCTTGAATGACAACTAGAAGTTCTCAGCAGAGGGGAAAGAGCTGGGGAGTGGTCTGGGCAGTGGGCTCAGCCTGTGCAAAGGGCCTGTGGCAGGAGGCCAGTGTGGCTGAGGCAGGAGAGTGCGAGGGGCATCCTTGGTGACCAGCGCGGCAGGATGTGTCTGAGCCAAGGCTCAGGCTATAAGGACAGAAGCTCCCTCCAACTCAACCCCACTCAAAGTGGGCGGCACCTTGTGCAACCCCAGGGGGAACTGCCAGCATGTCAGCTCCAGGAGGCCAGGGTTTCTGTCTGGTTCATAGTTGCCTCCTGGGAGCCCAGAGCAGGGCTGGACACACTGCCCAACAAGCAGATGGCTGGGGACCCAGCAGGGCCTGGTGGGCAGTGGGCTTGTGAGGAAGGCAAGGTGCAAATTTTGACGGTCCCTATGGGGACTGAATTTAAAAACCATAATTAAATTAAATTAAATTAAATATTTGTAATAATTCTGTGCATGAAACAAAGTTTGTGTTCAGTACTTATATGTGGAATTTTCCATTTGTGATGTCATGTCGATGCCCAGAAACTTTCGGATATTTTTGGATTAGGAATGCTCAACCCATTACTAGAGCAGCCCCAGTGTACAGATGGGGAAACTGAGGCTCAGAGAAGGGAGGTCGGTTGCTCAAGATCCCACAGCCAGGAAGCAGCGGAAACTGGACTCAAAAGCGCAGAGGGGGATCACGGTCATTTACAGCTTGTGTCTGTTGTCCCCTGAATCTAGCCAGGGGGACTTGGGCTTCTCCCCTAATCTGCACACACTCCTCGAAGCCCTCTGGGCCTCTGACACCCAAGGCAGTTAATTACGAAACCCAGCTCCCCTGACTGACCACCTACAGAGCACCTCACATGCATTTGTGCTCTGTGTCCTCCCCCCATTTTACAGATAGGGAAACTGAGGCACTGGGAGTTTAAGTAACTTGCCCAGGTCACGCAGCTAGAGAACAGCAGATGCAGGACTTAAACCCAGGCCGGCTGGCTCCAGAGCCCATAGCCTTAGCCATGACTTTCTTTTGCCTCCTGGAGGACTAAGCAGATGATGTCATGGATTTAATACTTATCAGCAAAATGACCTTTAGTCAAATGACCAAACCCCTCAAGCCCTCCGCTTCTACATCTATAAAACAGGGGCGACAATGACACCTCCATCTTGGGGTCGTTAGAAGTACTAGCTCGGCAGATCTATGTGAAGCTGCTGATTTTTAAGCTGTGAAAATAAGCACAGAAGACCTATCCAACAGGAAAAACAAAGGCTACTTATTCAGCTCCTGCGGCAGAAAGGGAGGCAGCCAGAGTCACTTGTATTCAGGCAGAGACTCAAAGACAGGCCGGGGAGTGGAAGAGCGTCACAGTGGGAAGAGGGATGGCTTCAGCTGTGCCCTGATCGGAGGCTGTTGGCCCAGGGAAGCTGCAGGTGACTCACTGGAAATCCCACAGCTGACCAGTGGCAGAGTCAGGATTCAAACACAACTCTTCCAGACGCCCTTGCCTACGGGCTTTATGCACTCATTAATTCAATGACTTAGTCATTGTTGGAGAAAATGTAAACAAAACAAAATAACAATGATGCCAATAATAGTAACATAATAGTTAAACTAATTTTACAGGCACTTGTTAAGAGCTTTATATTGCCCAGTGAGGTTGGAGTTTTCATCAGCTCCGTTTTATGGGGGCTCCTAGGGGACTAACAGGGAGGGGAGCTCTGGATGTTGTAAGGAGACTATGCAAGGAGGTGGGGTGCGGGGCACTGGGGAGGCTCCCTGAGTCAGCCAACACAGCCTCGGCCACCTCCTGAGTCACTCACAGAAGCCACTGAGTTTTCACTCGCTGTTCTGGGGATCCAATAAGGTAGAAGGTGCAAAAGTTGCAAGCACAGCGTCGGGAAGAGGAACAGCCTGCAATCCTCTGGGCCTTGATTTCCTCATCTGCAAAATGGGCCTAATTTAGCTACCTTCCTGGGCTGTGGGGACAAATACCAAATATGCCCAAAGACCAGGCAAGCCTGGGTGTGGGTGATCCCCTCCCCCCCAGTTAAATTTTCAAATAGGTTTTGGACACTTTGAACGTGAAAACTTTTAGGGAAGTGGATTAAACAAAGGTTGACTCAAAATATGTATTAATTTGATTGCACAAGTACATATAAAATGACGCTCTAGTCCATTTGGAAATAACAGTCTTTCCTCCACCCATACAGAGCCCGAAATAGCTTATTCCCACCCTTCGAGGGCTCCCAGGACAAAGGTGCCTCTTTTGGAAGACACACAAGAGGGGTCATTAGGAGTTCAGGTGGTCTGAATGTGATCCCAGCACTGCTCTTATCGTGAGCCCTCAGGCAAGTCGATTTAAGTCTCTGTGCCTCAGTTTCCTCATCTGTAAAATGGCACAGAACCTACTGTTTTGTTGACTAATTGAGAGAACATTGTGTGTGTGTGTGTGTGTGTAGCTATTCATTCAGTCTTCCTAACCCTAAGCGTTAGGAATTCTTACTATCCTCATTTCATAGATGAGCCAAGTCTCAGAGAGGTTGAGTAATTTGCCCAAGGTCACACAGCCGGTAGGCAGCAGAGACTCGAACCCCAGCATCACAGCCTCATAGGCTTTGAACGTAGCTGCCAAGAAGGGCTGGGATATAGCAGGCGTCCAGTTTGAGATTACAGCTGGGAGGGCCTCGTGCTGGGGTCAGAAGAGCAGGAGCCAGGTCGGTGTGGTCCCACCTGTGGCAAGTCCAGTTTAAGAATCCTGCGGGTCCCTTCTGTCTCCTACAAATCACAGCCCAGAACCTCATGCTTTTGCTGGAAGGAAGGAGGCGTCATCGACTGGGGGGAGGAAAAGCGAGTTGGTGGGTTGGGGGTGGGGAAGCGTGTCAGGAGGTAGGTTCGGGATGCGCTGGGGGTGGCGGGAAATCCTAAGGAAGCAGAGATTTTGAGGTGGGGGTGCTGAGGAGTCCCATCTGGGACAGGTGTTCTACGTGCCTTCCAGATGGTCGGATACTCAGGTCTGAAAAGCAGGAGAGAGCAGGGGGGGCTGGAAGTAGGACACCGCCCACCAGTGCTCCCTCGATAATCGGTGCTCGCTGATGCAGGCAGCGGTGGGGGAGCCCTCCCGCGACATCACACAGGTCTTTTTCTCTCTGTCCTCAGAAAAGCACAAGGACCTGCCCGGCGCACACCTGCCCATGAATGCGGGCATCGTGGCCACCATCATCATCGGATCTCTCGCTGCCGGGGCCCTCCTCATCGGCAGCATTGCCTGTCTCCTGGTGACAAGAAGCTGGAGGGGCCAGAGCCACAGGTATAGAGCCCCAGGCCTCTCCTTCCTCTGTCTCCTCCTCCTCCTTTCCTCTCAGGTCCCATTGAATCTTCCACAAATTACATCATCCAACTCATACACCATCTCATCAAATCTTGGAACCCCTGACGTGACAAGGATCTTTTTGTCCTTTATTACACAGAATTCTGCATTTCAAGAGACAGGGTACCTATTCTTAAGCTGGCCTACCAAAAATAAGAAATTTTGTATACTCCATAACTCATTAGCTTCAGGTATGGCTGGATCCAGGGGCTCGATTTTTGTCAGGAAACTCCTCCATGCACTCCTCAACTCTGTTTTTTCCTATGATGGTGTCATTCTCAGGCAGGCTGTCACCTGGTGTGACAAGATAGCTCCCAGTGGCTCCAGGCTTATATGCCACCAGTTCGGCCACCCCAGAGGAAGGAGAGTACTTTGTTCCTGCTAGTTCCAGCAAAAGCCCCAAGCCTGTCTCTCATTGGTTTAACTTAGACCACCTGTCCTGACTTGAACCAATCATTGTGGCCAGGTGTCGGAATGCTCTGATGGGCCAAACTTGGGCTGGTCGAGCAGCCCTAGAGCCAAGGGTAGATCAAGCTCCACGTGATCAAATGGACTGAGAGCGGGGAGGGGCTCCCCAAAGGAGGAAAACTGGATGCTATTGTGAAAGAAGGGGAGTGGATGGCGGGCAGGCAAAGCCATCGGATGACACCTACCTGTGTAGAGACGGGAGCCACCAGGCCCGGCCTCAAGTGTAATAAACATATTCAAATGAGTCGATTTAAAGAGACATACTAAGGAAATCATTAGACAAGTGGACGCAGCAGCGTCATTAGATGGTCTCTATAAATGGTGATGTCCGGGGGACATTGCTTGTTGGCATAAGGTGGCAGCCGGGGAGACGGGGATTGCGGCTGGGGCTTGTGGAGGAAGAGGCTGGCAGGGGACAGAGTGACCATCTCGCCCTCTGGGGCTGGTGGGTTTTCCAGCCTCCCTGGGTCTTTCTCCGCCCACCTGAGCGTCTCACTCTCCCAATGTCTGTCCCCTCCGTACACCCCCAGGACGACGACCACAGAGAACCCGGATCGGGGCCCCAGTCACAGCGCTGGTAAGTGGGGGGGCTCCAGGTCTCACTACCCAGCCCTCCTCCCGGCTCCCACCTCTTCTGCCCCAGGGGCCTCCCAGTGCCCCCCAGACCTCTCTGCCGCACCCTAGACTCAGCCCGCAGAACCTGAGCACATCAGCAGCCCCCCAAACCTGCTTTTCCTCCTCTTCTCCTCGGCCGGCACCCCCATCTCATGGTGCAGGGGATCCCGTCCGCCCCTACAGGCCACGACCAACCCAGCCCCATCCCCTGCATCCGCCGCCCAGCTCCCCACCGCCCTCCCCGCCCGTTCCTGCGCAGGGTCCTTCTGAAACGCTGATCCTGTCACTCTCTGCTCAGAGGCCCTCCGGGGCTACCCGGTGCCCTTGGGACAAAGTGCAGGCGCCTTAACATGGCCCTCCAGGCCTTGCGTAACCTGGTCCCCACTGTCCGTCCTGGCTTCGTCTCTCACACATAACATTCCCCTCCTCAAAAACAAGAAAAAAAATTATGTGTGTGCGTGTGTGCGTGTGTGCGTGTGTGATCCAAACAGACCAAACACGGTTCCTCATATGTGGCCGCCTCCCACCACCAGGCCTCTGCACGCGCCCGCTCCTGCCTTCGCATAGCTCTCGCTCCTCTTTACTGTCTCAGATGTCCCCTCCTCCAGGAAGCCCTCCCTGACCCCCAGGCTGATTAGGCGCCCATCTGGGCTCCCACATCCCCCCAAGACCCCCAACGCCAGCCCTGTACAGCCTGGGTTGTCACCCTGGGGATGGGTCAGTCTCCCCAACTGGACTATGAGCCCCGGGGCGGGGGGCCTGAGCAGGACTGTCTTGATCACTGCTATGTCCCCAGCACCCGGTTTGGCAAGAAGAAGTGTTTGCATAAATGTTAGTTGAACGAATGAATAAACGAATGTGGGCAGGCAGCCAGAGCGGGTCTGTGGGTCCCATCGGTCAGCTGGTACCGTCCCCCCCTTGTCCTGTGTTTCAGGTAACAACAATGCCTACGAACTAATGTCATCTCCAGCCTTCCCGGTGTCTCCCCTCAGTGACAAGGGGTCCACGAACTCAGCCCTGGTGAGCCCATCCCCACCCTCTCCCCTCAGGACAACTTCTCGAAGGGCGCCCCAGGGTACCGTGGCACAGAGTTTGGGAACTTCATCTCTCTCTCTCTCTCTCTCTCTCTCTCTCCCTATTTTAAAAATCATAAAGAAAAGAGACTGGAAGGAAACAGCACAACAAAAATGGGGAGTGGGCCGGGCGCGGTGGCTCAC